GAAGGACACTGGCAACTCAGCATTTGCTACCTGTCCTTAGTTGCATTGAGATATGTAGAGCAGAATCCCATAGAGGTAAGAACCTCCTTTCTTTCAATTGCCAGTTAGGGTTTTCTGACAATCTGGAGCTGTTTTTACTCATCATTTTCTACCATCGATAATAGTGACAGTGGTTATGAAAAATCTATCAGGTTTACTGATACCCTTTCGGGAAAGGATTCTTACCCAGTTTGATCTGCATGTAACTGTCAACCCACAGCAATGTGATTGACTCTTAACTGCCCTCTGAATATTCCAACAAGCTATTCAGTTGTCCTTAAGAAAATGACTCACCGCCACCTACTCGAGGTAATTAATGATAGGTAATAAGTGTCAGCATTACCCACATCTGATGAAAGAGTAACAATAATTAAGTAACGAGAACGATGATTATACATCATAATGTTGAAGCTTTATTCTAGTTCATGGATAAGCTGAAGTTATTTTTTTAAAAAGCTACAGGGAACTATTGGGAAAGAACTTTTTTATATTCAGTTGTGATTAAATGTTAAATCACGTTTTTAAATAAATTCAGCAATGGTATTGTCAACAGTAGTATTCTGGAAAATGTAGAGTGAAAGGAATTTGAATGTAAAATGCTCATTGTGGCTCCCAGCATTTTGATAGATCTGTTTGAGGAATGAAAATGAAGAGACAAACCATCATGAGCAGATGAAAGTAAGCGCCTAAAGGTTAAATATATGCCGACAAGGTAAAAATCTTGCAGATAACTAACGTGGGGAGCACTTTCTTTGAACAACCGTAGGACACAACCTGGCTAAACTTCTATCTTATAGCCTCTATGCCATTGAAAATTTATATCTGACAGAATTAATACCGTGATTCTATTGCATTAAATTATTTTGCATGGTGCTGCAATTTCAAGCAGTAGCGTTTTGGAAATTCTTTTAACCAACCCACGGAGTGTAAATGTAGTGTCTGGGGATACAAGGATAAAGCTTCCAATGGAGCGCACCCATCATGTAGGGTGCTAACCCTGCAGAGAAAATCTGCCGTTTTCCCCATGCTTAAATCAGTAATTTCTGAATAGATATTTTTTTCCAGTGAAACCTGCAAATTACATTTACGATAGGGATGATTCTGTTCAGGTGGTGAATTTTCTAAGATTTCTATAGAATTGGCCCACTTTATGCTAACTTAAGTGCTTTTTGTTACTTTTACACTCAGTTGGTCCAATGCACTCCTTGTGGGTCTCCCACATTCTACTCTCCGTAAATTTGAAATAATCTAAAACACTTCTGCTCACGTTTTGCATGAATGAAGAGATGTGAAAAATATTATTAGTGTATAGTGTGATAACATATTTTAATAAGATTTGAGACAATTACAAAGAAAGATGCTGTGTCACTGCTCAATAATATTTAGTATATAATCATTAACAGAATCTGTAACTATGAGCCGCTTTACCTATCACAGTGCCAGTCTGCCAGCACTTTTTCCAGCAGTTTAATTACTTCATTGAAACACGGCAGAAATTTTTAAGTGAAGGATAAGATGAATGGAATCAATTGTACCTGTGGATGAGGCGCATTTCATCATTCTTAGTCTGATTGGAACCTTTGAGAATTTGAAAGTTCAGTTTTCCTTTGGACTTCCTTTTACTGTGTAAATTTTTACAATCAGCTAGGGAAAATACGAGTTCCAAGATAACAGAGAGAATATTGTTCAAGATCTTGGACGATGAGTTTGAATGCGTCTTGTTTAACTAAAGGTAGGTTACATATGGTGACAGTGGTATTTGAGATTGTCATTGGTATAAAGAGGAAGCAAGTGAACTAATGCAATAATTTCGTCCAGTACTATTATCTTTAATTTCCCTGCATTGTAATTGTTATCATTTCTGTAAGGAGTTGATTGGTTGGGGAAAGAGTCGCAGAAGCAGCATGGTACTTCATGCACTGTCTTTGTCTGAATTAATTTTTCTCTCAAACCTCTCCCTCCTCCCTCAGTTAAAATAATACCAAAGGATAATGGGAACATAGTGAATGCAATAAAATTTTACTTGAGGTTGAAGTACCGATTGACAGATCACTTATCAGACTGGTCTACCAAATCCGTCCTTTGTTTTCATGCAATTCCAGATTTCTCCAATCAGGCTTCCCCTCTTGTTATCAGTGTTGGATTAGCTGCAATCCCTTGCAGTACACATTAGGAAGATTGAAGCCATCATCTTTAGTCCCCAGTAGAATCTCCACATCCTGTTCACTGATCATTGCCCCCTTTACTGGCTGTTGTCTGTAATGAGCCAGATTGTTGTAATCTCAGCATCATGTTCTGTTCTGATCTGACCCTGCTCCAATATCTTCTCTGTCAAGCCTATCTCAATCCATTTGCTGCTGTACACCTCATAGGACTAGAAATAGTCCATTTAGTATTTCAAACCTGCTCCACCATTCGAGACAAAGCTGATTATTTACATCATTGCTATTTTTCCTACCCTATCCTCATATCTCTCAATGCAGTTAGTGTCCAGAAATCTATATCTTTATCCTTAACTTATTCAATGACTGAACTCATAATGTCTTTGGGTGTAGAGAATTCCAGGTTTTACTACCCATTTCATTGTCACCACTAGACTACTATTGCAGAGATGTAATGGTCAATCTCCTATTGTTCACATCCTGTAAACTTCATCTCACCAAAATCTATGCTGTTTAAATCCCATCCAGAACCAGGTCCATTTCACCTGTGACTTCTGACTTTGCTGCAGTGATTCCTGGTCCCTCAGTGCCTAATATTAAATTATCATCCTTGTCACATCCCTTTCTGGCATTGTTCCTCCCTGTCACTGTAACCTGTTTCAACCTACCTATATCCCTCGTGGCATTCTCTATCTATCTGATTCTGTCCATTTCTGCAACCCTGTAGCTTGGCCCCACCATTTGTAGCCATGCTTTAGCCAGCTAATTCCTATATTTTGCTCCCTAAATACCTCTACCTCTTCATCCAAGCTTTGCATCCTTGCTTCTGATATCTCCTCTGTGTTCCATTTGTTTGATAAATTGTTTGGGTTGTTTGCCTAAATTCACAGCACTGCATAAATGCAAGTGTAGTATCTGAACATTAACCTTTTTAAAATAGCATACACCGGAATATAGAATGGGTTATTAAATTGAACTTTTCCAATTGAGATTCCCACTATGTGTAATTTTACTGCTGCATGAAATTTCACTCTTTGTCCTTGACCAGAAAAAAATTGGGTGAAACCTCATAAGTTCATTTGAAAAAGAAAGACCTGTGATTGCTTTAATTTCTTGCATCAGTCATTGTTTTACCGGGTCATCACCTACTTTTGAAATGAAGTTAACCTTTTGTTTATAATTGGTTACTGCTGACCTCTGCATTTACCATTCAGTAAGCTGCAACAAAGTGACAATTCTGTAAAATAATAAAATAAGATGCTAAGGCTGTTGCTAGGTCAGCAGGTCCAGATCAATACAATAGTCTTTGACTTCATGAGTGCATTGATGAGATGTGCTTCCCCAGATTGTCACCCTGTATTATTTTAAGTTACAGCTGCACTGCAATGCAAGCTGACACTAATGTTCTGATCTCTGGTCATGTGCTAATAGTCTAGTTGTTAATACATCTCGGTTATCAGTTTGTGATTTGTAAACAAAAATTTGTCAATGACAGTGAAGTATATCTCTCATTCAGCTGTGTGTGTTGAGAGTATTCTGCTCACCTGCCTGGTTGTATAATGACATGGAGTGAAATCAGCTGCAGAGGTAGGGAACAAAAAACCGATCTGCAGTGTGATCTTTCATTGTGTACAACATCAGGATTGTTCCAGATCGTCATTTAACCCTTGCAATTGAGCTAAAGTACTACCACTGGGTTCATTGTTTCATTGTGTGAGATCTTGTGATAAAAATGAAGTAATTGTCCCAGTTTATTTTGTGTGTCATTTTTTTATTTTAGTTGCTGCTGCAAAATGTGTTATAAACAAATTAGTGACAGTCAGAACTTTGCTCCAAACTTAACTGAATTTGACTTTTGTTACTTGTCTGAAAAGCTTGAAATGAGTCACTGCATACTTCAAATAAAGTCTGTGATTTATTCAGTGATGAATAATATCGACCACATAAGTTCAGAAAGTCTTTGAAGTTTTTCCAGGATATTTAATGAACTGACATTGAATTTAAAATTGAGTGCTTACCAGATGTGTAGTTCCAATCAACTATTGTACTGCTAAGCAATGCAAAAAAATTCTAAAAGTTTATCAAGTATGGTGGGAAGGTGGGGTGAATGGGGGAAAAATCTACTTAGTCAATTGCTTCATTGTCTTGCATTTAAATATATACATGTACATAACTGTAGAAACTTTTACTTCAAAATGATGTTACAAAGGTGCAGTCTGTTATTTCTGAATTTATATTAGTAACTATGTATTTATTGTTTAGTTAGTTCTTCATATTGTAAAGTGTCTCTGTTCCATGTAGGTTTAAACCTAAATTATTAGAATTCTATAATCCACTTAATGAAAGTGGAAAAGAGCTTAAGTAAGCACAAGATATTAGCTAAAATAATTAAGAGGATTCTTGTTTTGTTCAGGTTAATGGTACTTCTTGATAGTAAATGTTCATGGGACTTGCCTCTGGAAATGATTTGAGTTGTGACAGCTGGAAAACCTATTCTTAAAGTTAGAAAAGATCCAGGAACTTTACAGGTATTTTCCAAGTTCTTGGGAACTGGTGGCTGCCATTTCTACACCTTGCACCTTGAGTCATACAGTTGGTTCCTTTGTATAGCTTTTTGGTGTCAGATTTTGGGATTATTACTTAAAACCAGAGAGCTACATGTTCTGTATTGTACTTCTCAGCTAACAGGAGGCTAATATTATTTTTCTTGATACCTTTTTTTAACTGTTGTATATTCTTTTTATTTAAAACAAATTGTGTTAAATGTAACTCCGACTTGTACTCTTATCCTTCATTTAGATACGTGGATGATGTTATCGCACGGATTGACAGAATGTTTCCTGATATGTCCATTCACTTGTCCAGACCAAATGGTTCCTCAGCAGTTCTGCTGGTAAGGTGATGATCAAGTCCGATGTCAGTTATGCACTTTTGTGTGTGTCTAAGTATAATATGCTAATCAATCTTCTTGTAAGCCAGGGAAGATCTGCGAGGCTGAGAGTTACATGGATATATAGGTAGCACATGTAGTGAGGTGGCCATACCACACCTGTAGGGACTGGAGAAAAGAAGTGATGGATGGCCACCATGCAGTCAGAGGAACAGGAAGATAGTACAGGAGTCCCTTGAGGTCCTGCTCACAAATTTGTTTTCTGTTTTGGAAGCTGATGAGGGTGCTGGCTCCTCTAGGGAGTGTAGACCGAGCCAAACTCCTGGCAGCACAAGTGGCCTGACTGTACAGGAGGAGAGGAAGCAAAAAAAAGAGTGATAGTGATAGGGGATTCTTTGATTAGGGGAACAGGCAGGCATGTGAAGGGGAAGATTGACACATTAGAGATTGTGGTACACATTTGGTATCAGCGATATAGGTAAAATGATGGATGCAGTCTTGCTTCAAGTTCAAGGGACAAGGCACTAGACTAAAGACCAGGCCTCAAAGGTTGTACAGAAATAGGAGACGAGAGCAGATAAATGCATGACTCAAGACTTCGTGCAGGAGGAAGGGTTTAAGATTCCTGGATCTCTGGGACCATTTTTGAGGAAGGTGGGACCTGTACAAGCAGGATAATCTGTATCTGAACCAGAATGGGACCAACATCCATGCAGGAGGTTTGCTTCTGCTGTTGGGAGGAATTTAAACTAGTTCAACAGGGAGTGCTTTAGTGCTAAGTACTTTAGTTCAATGGTGACACAACATACCCTTAGCAAAGGAGCCTAGGCAGAGCGAGTTCAGAATGTTGAGCTCAAGGGAGTTAAGGCAAAGCTGAATGGCTTCTACTTTAATGGTAAGAGTATTACAGCTCGGTCAAATGAGTTAAGGGTGTGGATTGATATGTGGAGTTATGATGTTGCCATCACGGAGATGTGTTTGAAGGAGGGCCGTGACAGGAAATTCAACATTCCAGAGTACAGGATCTTCAGATAGGACAGGAGAGGCTGTAAAAGAAGGTGTCACATTATTAATAAAGGAGTCAGTTGCTGCAATAAGCTTTATGGATAGAATTTATGCATAGAAAGGAAGCAGTCATACTGATAGGAGTGTATTATAAGCCCTCAAACAGTCAGTGTGCGATAGAGGAGTAGATATGTAGTCAATTCTGAGGTGTGTAAAAATAATAGCTTAATTATATTAGGGGATTTCAACTTTCCCAACATTAATTGGGGTAATCATAACATAAAGGGTTTAGAGGGGAAGATTTCTTGAAACGTGTTCAGGAGAGCTTTTTTATATAAGCATATAGATGGTCTTACAAGGGACAGTGCAGTTCTGGACCTAATTCTGGGGAATAAAGCCAGGTGTTTGAGGTCATTTTAGTGACAGCGACTGCAACACCATAAGTTTCAATAAAATAAAACAAAGAACTGTAGATGCTGGAGGTCTAAAACAAACAAGAACAAATTGCAAGAGAAACTCAGCAGGCCTTGCAGCATCTGTGAAGAGAGAACAGAGCTAAACAGAGTTAATGTTTCAGGTCCAGTGACTTTTCTTCAGAGTCATAAAACTGGGAGTTTTAAGTTTGCTATGGAAAAGGAAAAAGATGGTCTGCACCAAAAGGTTTTGGATTGATGGAAGGCAGATTTTGTTAAAATAAGCCAGGATCTGACCAAAGTAGAGGGCATGGTACTTGAGATTAAACCTGTGGTCGAAAGTTGGGTGGGATTCAAAAAGGAGTTGGGGAGAGTAGAAGCGCAACATTATTCCCTTTAGGATGAAATGTAGAAGCAACAAGCCCAGAGGTCCATGGATGTCTAAGAATATTTAGAACTGGATAAAAAGAGAGGTGCATAACAGGTACAAAGGCAGCAAATCAGAGGAGGTCCTAGTGGAGTATGGAATGTGCAGAAGTGGGAGCATAAGAAAGCAATTAGGAGAGCAAAGAGGAGGCTTGAAAGAAAGCTGGCAGTCAAGATTAGGGAGAATGCCAAGATATTCTACAAGTACATCAAGGGGAAGAGTAGGGCCCATTAGGGACCATGGGACAATCTGTGTGTGGAGTCAGAGAACATTAGTAGAGTGTTAAATGAATACTTCACATCTGTCTTCACTCGGGAGAAGAAAAATGTAGAAGAAGATGGACTGTAAGGCTCTTCAGCAGATCGAAATTGGGAGTGAGGAGGTACTGGAAGTTTTGGTAGGTTTACAAGTGGACAGGCTCCCAGGTCTGGATGAGTTGTATCCCAGCCTGCTCTGGGAGACGAAGGTAGAAATTACTGAGGCCCTCACTCAAATTTTTAATTCCTCTCCTGCCATGGGATTGGAGGACAGCTAATGCTGTTCCACTTTTCATGAAGAGTGGTGGGGATAAATCAGGGAATTGAGTCTAAAATCAATGGTAGGGAAACTATTGGAGAAAATTCTGAAGAGACAATTAAACTCCATTTAGAGAGGCGAGGTTGATCAGGGATAGTCAAGCATGGCTTTGTCAGAGGAAGGTCATGCCTAACAAATCTAGTTGAATTTTTTTAGGGAAGTGACTAAGTGTGTAGTTGATATGCATTTCAGCAGGGCTCTTGGTAAGATCCCGCCTAGGATAAAGAAGGTAAAAGCTTGGGATCCAGGGTAACTTAGTAAGATGGATCTAAAATTGGCTTAGATGTGTGGTGACCCTCAGGTTAAACCACCACCAGTTGTCTCTCTCTGATTGGAGAATATTCCAATGGTCCTCTGGGACTGGGTGACCTTACCATTTTAAACAACAGTACAAACTTGCAATGACATTTATTGCTTATAAATCCCACAAACCAGCGTCTGTTTCGGGTGGTCAATGCATGAATATATTTCCTGGCGCAATGTTGGAGCAGTTAAACAAACTGCTGTAACCAGTTGCAACTGTGGGTCATTTACAGTGGCCTTTCTTTCTGCCTCTCCGCCTCTGGTTATGACTGCCATATAAGGCAATACCTGTTTCTGGCCCTTTTAATTGGTTTTCGATTACATCATTGTCTTGTTCAAAGCCATCCCCAGATGTATTCTGTCTGGCATCTTTTCAAGGTTAGGTTTGAAGCTATCTGGGGTGTTGTGTCTGACTCCATTTTTTTATCACAAAAATAAAGGGGCACAATTCTCCAGTATTCTTTTGAAATTATTTTTAAGACTTTTGGCGAAAATCTGGGTATTTTCTTATCAGACTAGCCTGTAAAATCTTAGCTAACTGCAAAAGGGAACATTGGAAAGCTGTTGGAATGGGACCGTGGAGTGTGGCTAATTCAATGGATCTATTCAAAGAACCAGCATGAACATAGTAGGCCAAATGACAACCTTCTGTGCTATATGCATTTGAACAAGGAAAAGGAATTCCATCAGATATCCACAAAAATGGAGTAAAAATAATGGTATTCCATTTTCTAAATGTGTCTTAAATACATATTTTTAAAAGTTTCATCACTATCCTTATGACTTTTCAAATAATTTTATATTGCACGACTAAGACTGCTTTCAGTGTAATGGTTTCAGCCACTTATGTTTCTCAAACTTTGTACAGACTCAGCAGTTGCCAGCAAGTTGATTATTTTTTTCGTGTATATCCAGTCCAGTTACATCACTTCTGGGTCTTGGAATGATGAAATTGATCATTACTTTCATACCTGCATGGAATCACTGTGTACATCTCGTTAGTCAAAAGATATTTCTTTGTCTGTTCTCGCAGGGAACAATACCAGTCGCATTTTTTTCATCAACATGTTATTACTTCTGTGTGATTAGTTAGTTTGGCATATTAGTGTCAAAATTGCATTTGTATTTTAATTTATGAAGGAAATAATCCCGTTGTGTGCAGTGGATAGGAGAAGAAACAATTTGGCTAAAATATCGAAGATTTTTTTATCTAGTTGTGCCTGGATCAGGGACATTGTACTGAATGCCTTTGAAATGCAGTTAGATGGGGAACTAAAAATGAAAGCATGACCATAGAATATCAATAGGAGATATTAACATTATTGCTGCTTGAACTGGTATCTGCATTTGTGAATGATGTTCTGTTGAAATAGCCAGTGAATACAATGTCTTTGAGAAGAATTGAGCAGCTTTTTTAACGCAAAAGTGACATTGTCGTGCAATGACTCTGACTGTGCAACAAGATTTTGCCATTCTTTTTCTTTGCATCCAAATGAAGAGACCTTCATAATCCTGTATTGCTATGAAAATAAAGTTGTTCAAGACATAACAGGGACTCCCCTCAACCAGACCTGGAAAGCAACAGGAATGGGGCCATGGGCAAAACTATGCAGGAGACCCCATCATCGCAGGAGCAAAGGGAGCTCTCTGACTTCGAGGGGGAGTGATGTGATAACTGATTTAAGGCCATGGAGAACCACTATCATAACTCACTGTGGATGGAGCTCATTGAGTATGAGTTCCCTTGGTAACAGGCAATGGCCTTCCCAGTTGGAACTCCAGATCTGAGCCCTTTTATAAAGTGTTAGAGAAAATATAAACCAGACCCAGGGATCTGTTCAACAATAAATGATATTCTTTTCAAGCTGGGCTTCCTGATTTGTTATGGTGGCACACCACAAGGAGAAGTAGAAAAATGAAAACTGTTGGTTCTTCCACTCAAAGTGTAAAACTCAGAAGAAGGTAATGCAGATTGTCCTGTGAAGATCATTGCTAGTTGCAATTACATGTAATTAAATGTAATACTTCTGACCAGATGAGAAAGAAAAATTGTCTGTCTTTTTAATCCTGTCTAGATCAGTCATAACAAATATTTTTGTTTTTGTTTTAGAACACAGCTATCACACTTAAACAAAAATAGCATACTAGTTAAAATTAAGGAGCCAATCACAAAGTTTTCTTAAGTGATATAGAAAAATTTTGTTACCTACTAACTCCAAGAAGAATTAATAATGTGACATCAAACATGGGTAATGAATTTTAAAAAGTGAGTGTCTGAT